GCTTTCAACAGGGATGAATACGACTGCAGCTGATTCGACGAGTCTCTCAACCACATTGCGTTGATGTCGCCTGTGATGACAAAAGTCAGCTCCTCCTGTGAGTTGTTGCCTGCGAACCCGTGCCAACGGATGGCCGTGTCGAGCGTGTTGGGAAAGGCATTTTCAAAGAGTCGTGACAAGTCCGGGTCGGATATATGGCTCTTCAGGCTCGAAACTGCGTCTTCGACTTCGGATAAATTGAAGGTGCGGCAGTGCTGTGGTGGACGTTGGTACGAGAGATTGAACCTCCCAGCTGAGAAGGGCCCGTGGTTCTCCGTGAAGTAGACAGCCGGGTTTGGACACGTGTAGTTCACTTCCTGAGCGAGGCAAGCAGCGACAAGGAGGAAGAGATGGATGCTGAGGCACGGTAGAGACAACATCGTGACGTTGAAGAGGCGACGTTGATAGAGAACTCTTTACCTGGGAGAGACTCTTTGTGGTTGTGTTTAGGACTTTTCACTTTCCACTCACCTGTGAACTTAGATTGATCTCATGATGGGCTATAGTGAATAAAGTGACTGACACGGTGAAGCAAGTCATGCGAGGGGCAGGACAGTGAAGTTGATGTGTTTGATGTAGCGGTTACATCGGTTCCTGCGTGGAGTCGACGCCTTGTCCTGTACTGGCATATGATCTGTGCCGATCATTGCGGGGAGATGCTGGATTCATCGGGCAGCCCAGCAATGCAACAACAGAGCTTTGCATGGGGAGCCTCGTCCAATACAGATTCTTTCAACGGCACACTTGATGTAGCCCCAGGAGGCTGTTAGAGAAGGTACCGTGCTTAGATATTACCCATTGTCATGCTCGAACCTCCCCTAATGGTCCCGGGAAAGGAGTGGGAAGTCCAAAGTCGATATGATCCCTTTGAGACTGTTTGTTCCGGCTGATCCTGGCGGCTTGACCCACAGTGTTGTTTCTCATTCCAGCTCAAGTTGGGCCAACTCGGCGCCCTCAAAGAAGGTCTCTCGTACATTTCGACAGATTCCTACCCGTCGGAAGACAGTCGACCAGGAAGGGCTCCCGGTGTGAACATCTGAATCGTTTGCTTCCTGCAGTCTCTTGCTGCAGAGCCTGAACTGGAGCAAGAGCATTACCCTTTGACCTATTTGTAAACCATACAGGTCCCGCTCCACACCAGCTGCCACGTGAATTTCTGCATTGGAGCCGTCAACGCTATCGTCCCGAGGAAGGGAATAGTCCAGTTGTGCTTCAATCGGTTGTCTGTTGGGCTCGCATATCACCAGCTGGCCATCTTCGGGGTTTCGTGCGTGGACGTGGCGAGCTACGTGTTGTGAGAGATCGTACTTATTCTTCCCACCGCGCGCTGTTATCTTGGACCAGTCAACGCGGTCTGACTCCGGGTGTATGATTCGTCGTATGTATCCTCTCACAGAGACACTTTTCTTCTTTGCCCCCTCCTGGCAAGCATGGAGAATATTCCGGTCTTCCTCTTCGCGCTCTCTGGGGTTCTTTCTCACGACAGGTACTCCAAGCACTTCAAACCCATTGCTCCGTTTGAAGTCCTGCTTGGTGCTAATGTGGGTCCCGACAGGAAGGCATCCCCAAGACCAGCTCGGTGCAATATCAACGAGGGCTTTCCGCGGGTCACCGGCCGTCCTGACCGACCACGCTAGGTCTTCGGGAAATGTGTCGCGCCAAAGACCAGCGAGATATTCCTGGTTTGGAGTGATATAGGTTGAGAGGTACTGTGCTGCCAGACCAGAAATGGCCGGAAATCGGTCCGTGGTTTTGGTGATCTCTCGTGGGCAGTAAGCCTCGATCACATCACTCCATTCCTGGTGTAAGCGAGCCCGTTCCCCTGCAAAGCGAGAGTTGATAAAAACCTGGGCCACGCTCATCTGCTCGAATCCGTCCTCTTCTTCGAAAAGGGTGGCACCACCGCCATCGTGCTTCCCTGCGCTGCGGATGTCGATCTCTGTGCCCTGCTTCTCCACACAAGACCAGTAGACCCTCTGACCGCAGTAGTATAAGAGTCTGGGGGACAGTCGCTCCTCTTGGAGAGTCCACGCGCGTTTGGACAATGGTGCGGTTGCCCTCACTTGGTTGAGACTCATGTCGTAGTTGACGAGCCATTGACCTTCAAAGTAGAAAGGAACAACTTTGTGAGTCCACGCCTTCCGAGGAAAGATGAGGCCATCCCTTGAGCTTTTGCTTGAACAGGCGCACAGAGTGAAGACGGCGTTACCATAGATGACATGCATCCTCGAAGCTTCGGCGTCCCAATCCTCGCCGGCATCAAGGTTGCAAGCTGAACAGAGATCCCCTTCACAATCATCGAAGCCATTACCCTCATCGTCGCCTTGGATAATCGTGTTTTGGTCCCTTTGGATTTTCTGGGAGATGCAGACTTGATCAACCCAGAGATATCTCAGTTCGAGTCTTCGAATCAAACTCAAAGCGTCCCTTATCGTTTTCGGGAGCTCCGAGATTTCGAATCGAATCCTGCGTTTGTCAAGATTGCACGGCGTGGTCCTACCTCGAGAATGTCCCTGGCCCCAACAGTAGCTCAAGGCAACGTAGTCAAGTTTTTGGCCGGTTGCCAACTCCGACGTATCGATCAGCCGCAATGTCGTCTCGGACACAACTTCAATTAGCCGTCTTGGGTGCTCGCCAGATTGCGTCAGGAGGCTGCACTGGTGCTCTTCACGGCAGCATTGCAGCCATTCTTTGGTCCTGGAGACGACCGAGACAAAAGGGTCCTCCCCAAGCGACGACGGTCTGATATTGGTGGTGAGTGCAATGTTTACCAGGATGCTACTCTCGCGTGACACACCCAGACGAACTTGCAGCGTCGATTGACCACGACGTCCAGTCTCTCCTGCCGGTAACCTGAGATAGACGGGTGCATCTCGTTCTTCCATCTTCTTGACATCATCACCAGTGATTTGGGACAGGAGCAGTGCCTGTCGGACAACCCTGCACCCCCTACACCTGTCGCGTGCGCATTGATCGAGTTCGCCGTAGCTTGAATGCAATCTGATGAAATCTGTGTCCCTCTCGCTCTTGCTCCGCGCTCTTCGGACTGCTCGCTCGAACTCTATGAAATTGGGGCATCGAAGTTGGCTCTGGCCATTTGGCTGCAATCTCTTGGGTTTATTCCACCACCAACTCAGCATCTCGTTTGATGAAGTGGGACGGAGCATAAGGCAGTTAGTGATTCGGACATTTGGACATGAAATATCGACATCGACGGTATCAGGAACTAGCCATTTCGATCTAGCCACCCGGGAGCACTAGGGTCATTTGTTCCCTCGAGTCGTCGTTGAGACCACATCGTCCATCTCCTGGCTCAGGCAGGGGCGGTTTCAGATGACGTGGCGAGGGGGTCAATTAGGCCGCAAGCTGTAATGGGGGTGGCTTGTGGCTGTGGTCCGGAAGGTGCTGTGTGTGGTGCTAGAATAATGCAGGGAAAAGAAACATGGAAGAAAGATAAAACAGATTTAGGCTGCAAAATAATCTACCCGGTAGAGTCGGTACCATGATATTCACCCGTAATCCCTCTCCGTGTCCACCATCTATTCAATCATTCCAGTTCCACAGATGTAGTTTCCTCCTTGAATCGCTTGAAGTTATCCATAATTGCAGCCAGGTCAAGCAGTCTACAGAAGTCGATTTGTTAGTTTCGTCGCAATAAAACTCGGAGGAGTACGAGGGAGACAGACACAGCAATGGCGCCAAAAGTGCATGGCACCACAAAAGCAACATTCTCAGACGCCGCTCGTCCCCATATCACGGCCAGTAAGGCTGTGGCAACGGCAAAGACTGTGCACAGGGTTGTACAGAGGTAGAATGCCGTTTTCAGGGTTTGGACGCGCTTGTCTTCCAAGCCCGGCTCAGGCACGCTGTCGGCGACATTGCGAAAGCGTGACGAGATGGTTCCGGCGACGCTAATATTGGCGCTTGCCTGGTGACGGACCGTTAGAACGTCTGTGTTGTCTCCTGGGGAACGGATATCTTCTTCAGTCGGAATCTAGTCAGAATCACTCACCACTGCAAAGGAACAAAAGTTTGTAAACATCCAATATGGATGGGAATTGAAGTGGTTGAAGGGATCTCCCAGCATCGAGGCGAAGGAAGTGATGATGGCACTCGACAGGAACATGATATTTGCCCCGATGCATGCATATTGGGTCAAGCTCCCCAGCCCGTGGCCGGAATTGAAGTTTGCCAATACACTCACGGTATTCATCATGTCGATCAATTGCAGTGAGCACTCAGAAAAGAGAAGAAAGGATTTGAAGTTGTTCAACTGAGGCTGTCGATGCCATTAAAGGCTGTGGCCAGGCTGGAGCTGCGCCTCACTCTGTCGTTTGACCATGATCGGCACAGGCACCCGACCAGGGGTTCATGAAGCGTACACGTATTAGGGCGCCCTAATGGACAGGGTTGATAGGGGCCGGATCTAGAGGACAGGCGTCAAAGTGGCCAGTCACCAGCCAACCTCGTCCATTAGATGGGAATAAACTTGTTGTTCATTGTTTTGTATATCGTAGAGGTAGAGAATATGCATTTAAAGAAAGCATCGAGGGTAAGGAATCTGCATCGGACTTTGACGAGTCTTTCTATTATTAATAAATTCGCCTGAATGACTCTCTGTTATTAACCATCAACACCTGCGAAGCTTCCGAATGGATCATTGACAAACTGGGCAGTGGAGACTTAGACACACATCAAGGGAACATATTACTTACAAGTAACTAGTTGGTGCTTCATCTACTCCTTGACTCACCCTCCTGTACCACATCATTTTGACGCTGGATCTTTTGGAAAGAGACTCGATGATTCGAGGAGAGATGGATGTGACGACGCCTCTACATTCATGGCATCTCTGAACGAAGATCTTTGAATATCAAAAATCAATCACCCCTCACCGCCGAAGCCGACACAGCATCATCCATCTACGGCCTCTGGTCTCTAAACTCAGGCCATCGGCAACAATGTCCAAATCACAGACAATGACCATCTCGCCAACTGATGGGGCTTATCAACCTCATCATCGTCATCGCCAGGACGGTCCATCTACAACACCCGAGACATTCGAACTGAGTCTCAAAACACCCACAAAGTCACTACGAGAACTCACCCGTCGAGTCGTCCAGGGAGGTAAAGCCTCGTTACCAACAACCGGAGGCGCCCAAACATCACCGTCATCGGACGAAGAAGGAATCAGTGTTCACAATGGAGTGCCTGCGCCAGTCAATGCGCCGCCGGCCATTCAGCGGTGGAATATGCCCAGGGGGAACATCGGTCGTCTGGGATTTGCCTTTTTCTCATTCATCGTCACGGGTCTCAACGACGGTGCTGTCGGAGTACGAATGCCTCTGATCTGAACCTCTACCACCTCTTTATTGAGTTGGATCGAGATATGCTAATGCGCGTCTTCCCTTGATACAGGCACTGATCCCATACGTGCGTCCTCTGTTCCCTTCCGTTGTTGTGTCTGACTACAATCTCACAAGCCAACGCAGCTCGAGACGTACTATCACCTGAACTATACGACCGTCTCTCTGATTTTCCTCACCCCCTTCGCAGGCTACTCCCTCGCCGCATTCACCAATGCCGCCATCCACACGAAACTGGGCCAGCGAGGGATCGCCATCCTCGCTCCCCTGTGCCATATTATCACCTACGCCGTCTTGTCCGCGCACCCGCCATTCCCCGTCCTCGTCGTCATCAACACCGTCTCCGGCTTCGGTAACGGCCTCACCGACGCCTGTTTCTGCGCCTGGATCGGCGCCATGGACAAGGCCAACGCCGTCCAGGGTTGCCTGCACAGTTTCTACTCGGTCGGCGCGCTGATCGCCCCGCTGATTGCCACGTCCATGGTCGTCCATGCTAAGCTGCCGTGGTACACGTTTTACTACTTCATGGTGAGTAGTGACCACCAACCTGGCGAAGAACACCCGCACATTTCTTCAGGGAAACATACGGACCAGAAATCGCTAACGGCCTGGTGCAATGGCGTCAACCAGACTGGCATGTCGGCCCTAGAATTCATCGGTCTCAGCACCGTTTTCTGGCACAAGACAGGGGAGGTGTACCGAATCGAGCATCCACGGGACACCGAGGCGACGGGCGGCCGCACCAAGGAGGCGCTCAAGTCGAAAATCACCTGGATCTGCTCTGCCTTCTTTTTCACGTACATGGGCATTGAAGGTGAGTGTCTAAGTCCACGATACATCTCTCTTTCAACCTCCATCCGTCCATTCCTCCCCCTTTTTTTCCCCAGAAAAATCCTCAAGTGAGAATCGAAAACTGACCATACCCTCCGCCTTTCGCGGGGAGCCAACCCACCTAGTCGGACTCGGCGGCTGGATCGTGACCTTCATGCTACGCGTCCGGTCGGCCTCGCCCTCCGCGTCAGGCTACTCCGGCACGGGCTTCTGGGCGGGGATGGCGCTGGGCCGAGCGTGCTTGGGGTTCGTGACCGAGCGGTTCGGCGAACGGGTCTGCATCTCCATCTACCTGGCCCTGTGCCTTGCGCTGCAGCTGATCTTCTGGCTTGTGCCGACGTTCCTCGTGTCCGCCGTGGCCGTGGCATTTCTGGGATTCTTCCTCGGCCCCATGTTCCCCGGCTGCGTCATGATGGCGGCGAAACTGCTCCCGCGACACATCCACGTCAGCAGCATCGGCTTCGCCATGGCACTCGGCGGCACCGGCGGCACCGTCTTTCCCTTCGCCATCGGCGCCATCGCCGCGTCCAAGGGCGTCAAGGTCCTCCAGCCCATCATCCTCGCGCTGCTCGTCGTGCTGTTGGGCCTGTGGTTGAGTTTTCCCAGGGTGAAGAAGAGGGAGTAATCCGCAAAGGATAGAATATATATATAAAAAAAGAGGGAGAGGGGGAGAGAGGCACATGAATACTACCAAAATTCATAATTCACACCTACCTGCCTGTGTATGTGTAGACGACACTGTCGCCACCATCGATTGCCATCGCCATTTACTGTCCTCGACTCCATTCATTCTCCTCTACAGGCTCACAATGGCGTGTGGTATCCCTTTCAATCCCTGCGCGCCAGGTTCACCAGTTAGGTGACAGCGTGTCCCAGGGCCGAGCACCGAATACAACCACACCCACACACCCCATAACCGTACTCGCACCGTGGTAGTATCTATGCGCTACATCGGAGAAAGTCAAAGATTAGGCCAAATTGGCAGTGAAAACCCAAACAAGAGCAGCAACGGACATGGCAAAAAGTAAAGTGAAATGAAGTTCACAACCTGATTAATTTGAATTTGCAATTGCACTTGCATATCTTCCAGCGCATACACAATCCATGTTCATTTCAATCTTTTTCCTCTCCTGGTTTTTCCTTTTTGGACGTGTTTTGAAATTCATCTGAGATTCCATACACTTCGCATGTAAAAATTGGGCACCTTGGGCACCGGGCAAGTAGCAAATACCAGAAACCCTTTGTGCATTCGCTATCTTGCTCTTCCTTGAGAGAAGACACCTCCGCTCGGCTTTCTGTGTCCATTCCTGTGCTTGTGCCTCTGCCGCTCTGCCGATCGAGATGGTAGGTTGGAAACATGGTTCCAATCGTGGTATGGAAGAGAAAAAAAGGGGTATCTTGGGTATCTATGCCTTGATGTCTCATTTCCTTTTCTGGGAAGGTTCGGTGCTCCCCAAAACAGATAATAAAAACACACTCCATACCGGATTTTGTTCATTTCATCTTGTTCGTCACACAGCATCATTCTCTGTTCCTGTCCGTGCTACTGCCATTGTTGTTCCCGCTGTGTCATGATGTTCAATAACAAGTTCCACCCATCCTGTCCCGGAAATTTCGAATGTCCTGAAAACCCGTACACATTGCGACAGCCTCCGGTCAAGGCGAAATGGAGGCTGATCTCTTCAAGAAGTAATCCATCCATCAATTGCTGTGAGCGATCTAGGTTGTTTTCCTCCTGTGTGATTCCTTCTTTTGTTCTTTCCGCCTAGATTCTCTTCCGCGGAAAAATAATCCCCTTCCGCGGCGTCGTCCTCGGTTTCGCGGTCATATCGTAGAGTGATGTTCCACTGCACGAGGCCCTCAGGCCCTCACTCTCTTCCTTCCGACGCTTTCTTCTTCAACCTCGCTCAGTTTCCTGCCTTTGGTCGCCGTTCGGCTGGCACCAGACTTGTCTGACTTGGGAGTGGTGACTTCGCTACTCGGCACACTTTCAACACGTCCTCCACCATCATGCTCTGTGTACTGGGCCGCCTGGTCGAACTTGAGATTCCCAGTGTTACCGCTGTACTGATCTGCCCCCATGCCGGTACCCACACCAACCCCCATACCCGCACCCGCATTGGTCCCATCAAACCCACCGAACCCAGCTGTGTTGTCATTGTTCAAGTTTCCAAACAGCTCGTCATCATCTTTGTAAGCAAAGTTCATGTGGTCGGCCGTCCCTAATTGATCTCCACCCAGTCCTGTGTTGCCGAAGTCGTAGTTGCCGTTCCCGTCGCTAGCAAAATCGCCAAAGTACTCGTTGTGAGTCAAAAAGTCGTCAATGTCCAGGGGCGGAGGTGGAAAAGACTGGCCGTCACCAATTCCGGGGATCGAACCAGTCGGAGATAGCGGCTGCAGCAAGTTGGTGAGGTTTTGAACAGATTTATCCTGCTCCGCTTGTAACTTGGCGAGTTGTTCCAAGTCTGCTTGTGTGCTGGCGAGCCGGCGATGGAAGTTCGGAGGTCCGGGCGGTGGAGTGGCGTTTATGAGTGCATTGTCATTGCCCGCGGGTTGGTTGGCGGAGTTGTTGATCATACGGAGGACGTCAGCACGCTGAGCCGTGGACAGCGGTCCTGTACCGGATGATGCTTCAAGATTGCTGAGGACATTGGAGAAGTCTTGCGCCGGTGTGGTTGGGGAATTTGCAGAGTGATTGTTCCTCGCATTGGCGTTTTGTATCATGGTCATCATGTCCCGGGACGGCAGATCGCTGCGTGCCTGATTGACAGAGGAGACGTTGGCACTGTTAGGGTTATGGACCCCAGGATCAAAAACGTCTTCAAGTTTCGGTGAGAGCAGAGATTGGGACTGTCCGCTGCGGTGACCTGTTGTCTTAGGGGTAAGATAAGGACTGTTGCCAGACCGAGGTGATAACGTGCTCGCTCGACCATGTGGCTGCTGCGGCGCTTGTGGTTGCCCGCTTCCGTTAGTCAGTAGCAGCGGCTGTTTCTTGAACGGCTTCGCAGGGCTACCATCGAGGTTGATGTCATTAAAGCTGTAGTCGCCGACATCAACCACATTACCCTGAGTTGATGTGTCGACGGGCATCGCATTTTGGAAAAGGTTGGCAATACCTTGTACACTTTCGTGGCTTTGAAGGCTGCGGTTATAGACTGTGGCGAGGAACGTCAGGATAGCATTGATCGAGTTCTCATGTCGATTGTGCTGGTCTTGGAAGGTCGCCGCTTGCCCGTACAACTGTTCATGCTCGCGCTTGAGTTGTTGCATCATACGAGAGATTTGCGTTTGCTGATGTCTGATGGCTGCCAGTTCACGCTGTACGCTCTTGAATTGATCTTGGGTGAGAGCCATCTCACTGCTTCCCAGTGTGAGCTGGCCCGGTCGAGCACGTACTCGGTTATCAACGGCATTCGTCTCATCCACGAAGTCGTCGGCGTCCTCCTCGTTCTGATCGTTGTCCGGTTTGCCTTTTCTTTTCGAGGCAGGTCCGCCAATGTTTTTCGGCTTCTGTATCAACCAGAGCAAGTCTGGATGACCGCGGCGGAAGTAGGGGTTCGAGTATTCACTTGGACTCTTGTTTTTACGTTCACTGGCTCTCATGGAATTGTCGGAAAGGCCGACTTTCTTGTGAAAGCCGTACATGTTGAGTTGACGCACGAAAGAAGCATAGTTATTGTGTTTGAACAGCTCCGGGATCAGTGTCTTTGCGAACTCGTCCTCATCCAGGACAATGAATGAGTTTCCATCATCCGACCAACGGATAAGGTCGGTGTTTCTGCCGTCCTCTAAAAAGCTGTGCACTCGTTAGCACCAATTCTTGCACTTTTTTCCCTCAAGGTCTACTCTCTCTCACCTGTTAAGCTTCTGAACAAATGGAGGTATCTGTTTCCTTTTTGCTTGAGCTTCTCTCTTTGCGACCTGTGCTCTTGCCTCCAACTCTGCTATGTCATCTTCCCATTCCGGGTTTGTGGGATGTGCGCCTCCATTTGGATGCTCTGTCCAGCTGTTCCCTTCTTCGCTCGGTCGGGGCACCCGTGAAGCAAGTTGGGCCATAGGCCGTCGGGCGATTTGATTTGAAGGCTGAGGAACAGGTTGAGGATTGCCCGCAGGGTAGGTGTTTGCGTTCAATCCAAAGCTGGTTTCATTGTATGAGGGACCAGAAACAGGTTGACCAGTTTGACCCCACTGAAGGAACTGGTCATTGGAGAGTTGCGGCCCAAGGCCGTCGTTGTACGTGGGCGCAGCATTCTGCATCTGAGCAGGATACGGGACCGGATCGGCGCCTGGAGCAGGTCGTTTTCTGGAGAAGCCTTGCGAGGCCATTGCTACCGGTAGGATAAGAGAGGAGAGGAGGGGAGGTCGTGAGGCCGAAGAAGAATTCAGGCGTGTGAAAGGTGGGATGTTTTGGACGTGTGGGAGATGTGAAATTATCGACGGGTGAGGCTCGACGTCGCCGAGAGCCCGGCCAAGTGAAAATCGCCAGGATCACACTACCAGAGAAAAGGTCACGCCGCAGATAGTCAGGACTTGCTGCGAGGAAAATGATGTGTATGTCGGGTGCGCGCAGGCACAAAGTTCGGGCGGGCAAGTGGGCTGAGATATTCAACTGCGGTATTGTTAAAGATCGCGGCCAAATTATGAACAGCCAACCAGATGACAAACAGAAATCAATGTCAATTGCGTCAAGCAGAATACCCCCAAAGAGCGTCCAATATGCCTTTATATCATCGACAATGGGCAAGTGGTGTGATTAAGTTCGAGCATTTTCAACGGTATGGGATTGGGAAAGTCCCGGATCTGATGGTCCTGGAGGAGTTTGCTTTTCAGTCCGCAGTCTTGGGATGTCAGTTTCCTTAGGTGCTTAGGTAGGTACAGGGGAGAAACTGCCACTGCGGGAGCCTATGACATACTCGTACTCACGAGGAAGGTGTTGTGTGCTAACTGCGCCAACTGCGCCAGCCGGCGCCAACCAACCAGGCGGCTGCTACATTTTGCTCCACAGCCCGGTTCCCGTCCATTCAGTCAAGCCTTGCGGATCAGGAGGGGAAACTCTCCTCCATGCTAACCAAGCTGAGTACTGTCTCAATATGTCAGCTGCTGGGGGCCATCGCGATTCAATCCACCATCGTCTCTATCAGGTACTCTCATATCTAAGCCTTGGGCTGTCCGATGAGCTTTCGGAAACCCGCCATTGCCTTTTCCCATCCTTCGGGGTGAGCTTGGGCAAAATTCTGCACCATCTTGACAGCTCGCCAATCCTCCTGCATATGCTGATCACTCTTTGTCCCGTTGAGGACAGTCACATTCCCCAACCCGAGCACCAAACAGTACAAGGCAGACTGGGGACTGATGCCAAGCTGGTTGGCCAAAGCACCCGCTTCACTGGACCAGACGAGGTTAGGGTTGGCCGACAGAGTCCAGAAGCTCTGATAGACGATATTCTGCTCCCTACAGAATTGACGAACTCCAATGTCAAACTTGGTGTTTGGATAAAATCGATTCTGGACCACGCTCGGCTTGATGTGGGCGCGCTCGTAGATGTCCATCAAAGTAAACAGGTTGCAGTTGGAAACACCCAGGTTCCGGATCTCGTTGGGCACATACTGCTCTAACGTGTGCCAG